AACCATCTTCCAGCCTAGCTTCACAATTTTCTAAAAATCTTTTCAAAAACTTCAACTACTGTTGCTACTATTTAGGCACCCGATCGTAGCTAAAAGGGGTTTGACGTTAACTACGTTTCAATCTCGCGGCACATTTTGCGGTCGGTCACATCTCAACAACAGCAAAGGGCTGATGTTTATTCACAAAACGCTTCAATCCTCAGTCGGATACTCTGCATATGTAAGCTATCGTGGGTTGATTTTCATTGACTCTCCGAATCTGTTGCCTTGTTCAAATTATGTGCAGAGCCAAAACAAGAATTTGGGTGTTAAGTACCTTTCTTCAGCCATTTAAAGACCATATTTCCTTTTCCGACTTGATACCATATGGGCACGTCCCATTCATAACTTCAATCAAGCATTCACTGGAATATATCAAAAAAGACATTCCCACCTGTGACCTGTAAAGTAATATTTTTCAATTCCTGGGTTGGATGGACTGATCATATAGCGTTTTTGATTTATAGTTAGTATCGATGAGTTCGAATACTTTGCAGTCACCAGCGGAAATCCCATCTGCAGTGATACACTACTGAGTATGTGATTTGATAATAAATACATAAGTCACCTGTTTGGTCCACTGATTTCCAAAATCCATGATGTCCAAAGGTAGTCCGTCGGGTCCCAATAATTGCCCAATGTCAGTGAAAGCTTGCCATAAGTCTTGGCTCCGAGTGTTCTTGTAAGAAAACTTCTTAAGATAGTGCTGAAACGTTCATACCTGTAGGGAATGATTAGTAATTTAGGAGGCTGTGGCAGGCATCATTGAGCATTACTGCAAGCGCACGCAACAGGTTCATATGAGGGTACACTCAACTATTCACTAAATGGGTTCATTCCCGGCTTTGCCATAGATCCACGCCCAATGATCTCGACAAACTTTCGAAAATGCTGCATGCAATAGGTTTTTTACATTGTTTAACATCAATTTGTGCGCTATGAAGATTCATCTTATTTTATGCTGTAATTCAGCTGATATGATGCGATAGAGAAGGTGTAAATGTCACTTCGAATGTGTACGCTCATCAATGTATCAGAAAACACAGAGCAAGGTTTCTGACGAGAAGGATGATGATTAGGCTTGGTATGAAACTATATCAATTTGTCAACTTTGAGAAATCCTGTTTCAGGTAATGTT